GGCTGCGGTGTTGTCCAAGTGTTCTCCAAATTATATTTTGAGAACCTTAGAATGATATATTGTCACTATATGCTAATGAACACACTTTAAATAAAATGTTAGTGCCCTTGTCTAGGCTCAAAAGGCACATGTGAATCCCTCCTCTTAGCTCTTCCAGACTTCCTGTAGCTTTACAACTACTTCTACATCCAGGCAAGTTTCTTCTGATTGAATCTCTTTAACAAACTCCCTCTTTTGCTGCATATGCACAAGTGTATCTGCACACCTCAAATACAGTGGTAATATTTTCCTACATTTATCATGCATCTTTGCCCACATTGTCTGCACTCTGTATTTTATTTCCCCATGACACCTACCAATATAAGCCTGTGAGCAGCTTTGAAGTCCCTTCTCCCCCCCGCATTTAAAAATAAATTGAAAATAACCTATCCAAGGAATGTTTCTTTCTACCCATCTCATATTCACTTTCCCATTCAAATAATATTTGTCTGTACCAAATAAGAGTTGGATTTAATACCCTGCAACCTCTCTATTCTAGTGGATGGGGAAATTCTTGCTTTTTTTCTCTAGCTAAGATATTTAGATAAAATAGTCATGATTTTAACATATAAGAGGCTATTTTAAGTTGTGTTCAGGTTTTTAAAATGTATTTGCTATATTCTTTTCTCTCCCTCAAAATCTTAAACAGTTGGCTTTATTAAGCAAGGCACCTTGATTATTCATATTGAGAGATTTAAAAAATAAAAGTAGAGTTTTATATAAACCCCTGAAAATTTTCCTAAAAATAGCTTTTTGTAAATAGCATAATCAAACTTTGTGATGGTACGATGTGATATGAAAAATTTTAATTGGCATTTTTTTGTGATTATATGCATATTTAACTTGTGGCTACTTGCAGGGCATGCTAACAGTTGCTATGTACCCAAACACTGCACCAGCACTTATCTGAGACAGAAGCTTTTATCATTTGTTTCTTCTTTACTAGAACTGCAGCTTTAATTTAAAAATAAAATAATTCTTTATTAGTTATAGCCATGAAGACAACTTTAGAAATATAAACCCACCATAACTATGTCATGGTTGAGTTTGCAGAGAGCTCTGAGAAAGGTGAACAGTCTTACTCACCTCTGGGAGGAGTTAACTCAGAGGCCAAGCGATGGCAGTTTTAAAAGGGTAACATTGTTAGCTATTTTATTCCTCACATAATAAAGAGGAGAAGTCACAGAACAGCACAGCATACCACGAATGAGGACTTGTTTTCATGGCACTGGGAAGACGCCACCTATATTTTTCCAAGCCCAAAGAGATCAGCAAGGCAAATGGGATAACTCAGTTCCTTCCAAGGCATGGCCAACCTCAGGAAACCTACTGGAACCCAAAAAAGCATGTGTGACTTTGCACATGTTTAAAACACAATCTATTATGAACAATCACGTTGATGCCTATTTTGAGGAAAGGACCTAAGAGTGCCAACATCTCTTTCACCTAACCCAATTTCCAGTCACCTCTCCTTAATGCATAAACCTTTATGCCTTACCCTGTCCTCTGTCTAAGTTGAATGAGTCAAGGACTGAGGGTGATAACTTTTATTGGAACAACTGTGTAGCTTGGATCAAGTTAGACAAGCTTTCAGATGTAAGACGGTGCACCCCCTATATTCATCACATCTTATATTCAAAATCTCGTCTAACTGTATCCCAGCGGGTCCAATAAAAGACATCACCCTAACAAAACATTGCCTCTTGCATAATTTCTGGACCATCACAGCTACAATACCCCTCTTACACGAAACGGAAGGAAATGTTTGCCCTGCTACTGAAATAAATACAGGTCGGTGGTGAAACGGAGCCCCTGCTCGGGGTGAGCAACCATACGCGCAAAGATGTAGCACGTACAGAAAGTGCCGCCCAACTCGCTGCGCTCTCCTGAACTGCAGTCAAGAGCCCAGCCTGGGCAGCCACGCCTGTTCATGACCCAGATCCCATTTGTTCTTTTTTGTTTTATTAATGTATTTCGTGTTCAGCCAAATCATATCCACTGAGTGGAGCTCACGTGTTCCAAAAAAACATACCGAACGAGGAGGGTGAAATCAATCCGTCCAAACACCAGGTAGGGCGCTACAACCAGCCGGCATCCTCCCTCCCGGCTGTCACCCGGGGACCTCAGCGCGCCCGAATCCACGAGCAGGCGTCCTGTGCGCGGGCCCGAGCGGGGGGTCTCGGGGTTCGGATGCCCCCGCTTCCTCTCAGCCCACGAGAGGCCGATCTGAGCCAAAAGGCAAAGACCCTTCGTGCAGGCGGGGCGGGCAGGGCTCTGCCTCTGGAGCAAGCAGCAGCTGCCAGGCCTGTCGCAGGCAGGTGCCAGGAGGCCGGTGGAGGGTGCGGGTCGGTTTCCCCTGCCGGCTGCCGCTGTGGCGCCCCGTGTCTGCCCGGAGGGTGCAGCTGCACCCCAAAACCCACGAGCCCCCCCACGACGAAGAAGGGGAGGGGGCAGGACCCATGGCCACCCCCACCCCCGGGGCCGGG